GGACAGTTATAGATATGTCGGTCCATTTCATCAAAATAGGAAGATCCATATCTTGGACCAATATTTCGAGGTCTAACAAACTTTTTGAACCAATCAAATTTATGATACCCCAATTTAATGACACCCCAATTGCCTTGTTAGTGTGGCTAAAATTAAAAATTAAAATATAGGGGATCCTATCGGTCGAACCCACTTTTTAAAAATAAAAGGGCAGTTCAGTTGGAAGAATTGTATATGCTCTCTGGGAATACATGCTGACACTTTTCAGATAATTCAGCTGTAAAATATTACTTTAACCTTATGAATACTTAAAATTGGGGATATTATTACATGAGGCGCTATTCTAAGACGCAGGCACAAATGGTCTATTTTAAATCCCCAATTGTCTACAGACTTATAACATATATATTCAAAATCAAGATACCGTTTAGAGGCTAGAGTTATTTCCACAAACCGAAAAGAAGACCAACACACTGTGGTAAAGGAAATAATGTATTGGTGCATTTGTTTGTAACCTGATGATGATGATCCTCATAGAATCACATTCTGAGATGTGATGTGATTTGTAAACAAAGTACAAGTCCTATCGAGATAAAGCTTTTAAAATTTGGTCAGAATTGGTCTAAATTTATATAAGGCGTTCAAACATATTTCGTCCGGAATTAATTTTATTGTGCGTAATTTAATATTCAAATAGGATGATTTTTGAAATGTCCCACCAGGTATCGGTTAATATGTAGCTACATCTCCTATATATCCCCTCACAATAATGATATTTGATATCAGATAACAAATATCACTCAGAACTATCTCTGCCAAATTTTATCGAGATTTGGATACAGCTCCCAAATTTTGCCACATACGTCATATACGACCTAATTCAGCCTTGAAATTTGGTAAAAGTCGATTCAGATATAGCTCCCATATAGATGTATCAACCGTTTTGGTGTTTAAGGCCTTCACATTCGTAATAGGCACTTCATAACAATGATCTTTGGTACCATACATAAGATACAGCTAAGAAATACTTCTGTCAAATTTAATCGATATCGGTTACAATTTTTTCATCCGATTTCACGGTTATTGTTCATAAAATAACAGATTCAACATAATTTTTTCCAATTGGAGATACTTGGTTCCCATCTATCTATTGCTCCCATATATATTTTTATACCCTACAACACTATGCGTTGGGTTTGATTGGGCCAAAAATTATGTAACACCACGAAATATTGATTTCCCACATAGGAAAGTATATATGGATCTTCCTATCTCGCCGAGCTGAGTCGATCTAGCTGTGTATGTCCGTCCGTCTGTCCATGTTAATTTGTAATCACTCTATAGGTCGCAATTATGGTCCGATCCTCATGAAATTGAGGTGGGGTTAATGTCAGAATAGAACCCTATTTCTTTTGGTGATGATCACACAATATTTAGAGGTTGAAATGGACCAAAAACTGAAAAATTTCCTGATTTTGCAGTTGCTCTACAGGTCACAATTATAGACCAATCGAAGCAAAAGTTAGCATGGGGCTAGAGCTTTGGGCTGGGCAGAAGCCTTTGATGATCATCGGGTAACATTTAGTGGTTGAAATAGACCATAGCATTTGTGATAAATAAAAGTCAAAATTTCCATTAAACCGCGAATATTTTTAATGCCAGCGAAATCCCAAATATACAAACAGGTCAATTCTGACCGTTACGTAGATGCCGATAGTAAAAATATCGGATATATATAGCGAAATATATACAATGTGTGTATACAAAGGAAGGGGATGTTAGCTAGAATGCTTATATCTCCAGAATGGATGGAGCGATTTTGACAAATTTTGACAATTCAGAATGCCCTTTTGGCATAAAAGTATAAAATCTAAAAAATCGCATAAAAAGATACCAATAATTATGTTAATATAGATTTTGTAGTATTTTGTGACATTTTTTTCATATTTTCATATTTTTTATCGCATGCAATTTTTTTAATTTGACTTATAATATTCAAGTGTACATTTTGTAATATTTTTTCACCTTACAACACAGGTTGGGGTTATTATATACAGATTGCAATTATAGTCCGATCCTCACGAAAATTGTCATAAGGGTAGTTTTAGGCTCAGAATGACTGGGCCTATTGTTTTCAAAGATGCCCGCAATATATTTAGGGATTAAATGGACCAACAACTAAAATTTTTTCTGATTTTGCAGCCGTTATAAAAGTCACAAATAGAAACCAAAGGTCACGAAATCTCGCATGAAGTTAGAGTTTAGGATAGCGGGTAGAATGGACCACTACCAAAATTTACATTTTACTGAAACGTTGAAAATAACTTACAGACGATATCCAAAATACACAAAAAGGCAGAGGGGCCTCTTGCTTTTGGAGATGATCGAAAAATATTTAGGGGTTCAAATGTACCAAAAACAGAAAAATTTTCTTATCACACAATTGAAACCAATCGACACGAAATTTTGCATGAGAAGAGAGTGAAGGACAGGGAAGAAGTGTAGCATTTTGGCCGTCGGATTATATTTAACTGTAACTAACAGGACGACGGTTTGCGTAAGTATTAGGCAAATGTCCCTAGTCAAAAAGGTCTATGACACAATTTCAAAAGCGAAATCTTCCAAAATGGATTTGGACATAAGGGAACTTTTACCATTATGTAGTGTTGTAGGGTATCACATGGTCGGCCCCGCACGACTATAGCCTTTGCTTACTTGTTTTAATATAACCTTCCCTTCATATCTATAGCAATGTTATTTGGTGCAAATGCCTCCGTTAAATTTGGTGGAAATTAATTCAGAATTGGATATACCTCCCATATAAAAACTCACTCTGATTTCAAATTATAAATACTCTAAAGCCATAATAAACATTAAAAAAATTTGGCAATTTTCAAAAAAAAATCTGTTAAAAATTCTGTTAAAATCTTAAAAATACCAAAAATACGACGTGGACCTACATAGGCAACTTTTGTCATAAGCCATTACAATATTCAAATGCGAAACTTGAATAAAAAACTCGGCGAATAGTGTAGCTAAAACAATCAAAATACCGAATATCGGGAGGTACCGTTTTATGGGGGGCTATATGAAGATGTGGACTGGCACAGATAATTTTGCGTCATAGTACCCATTACGAACTTCAAATACCAAATTTGAAACATTTCCGGTGAATAATGCCGCTTAAATAAAAAAACGAAAAACGAAAAAAGGGAGGTAGCATTATATGGGGGCTATACGAAGATGTGGACCTGCACAGACAATTTCCTGCCGTAGGCTGCAGTACCCATTACGAACTTCTAATATAAATTTGAAACATTTCTGGTGAATAATGTCGCTTAAATCACCAAAATACCGAAAAAAGGGAGGTTGCATTACATTATTAAAATGTGGACCTATGTGGCTATACCAAAATGTGGACCTTCATCACCCATTTTCAATACCAAAATTCCTGAAGACATAATACATATTTGAGTAAAATTTTAAGAACCTACTTCATTTCGTTCGGATTTCCATAGACGGACGGACATCGCTAAAGAATTTTATGCTGATCAAGAATATATATACTTTGGTCGAAAATGTATATTTCGAGGTGTTACAAAAGTAATGCAAAACTTAATATACCCTCCATACAATGTAGCTAAAATTATCAGAATCGCGAATATATACCATACAATTTTTAGTTGTATGGGGGCTATACGTTATCGTCGATCTATATAGACAATTATCTTCCAGGGGAAGAAGTACTCACAATAGATGGTCTGTCAGAAATTCTGACGTATATGACATAATTTTCCGACGTATCATACATACGTCGAAAAAGTCTTAAACCTAGACAAAAAATAAGATTTGTTGACGTTAACGTGGTGGTTGAATACAAAGGCATATAATATAATATGGGACATTTTGTTGTTGCATTAATTCAATAGATGGCGTTGGTAGTGAAAAATATATATTATGACACAATATCGTAACATAGCATTATGATATAATGTAACAGCGGGCACTTTAATTGGAGTCCATATTTATCATATCTGTTGCTTTTCTCCACAGCTTAAAGGTATTTTTTCTCGATATCGGCATAAAATATTTCAGCAAATTTTCTAATAAATTTTTGCCATGTCGTCGGTCATCTATAACCTGATCGAGACAATAAAAGGCTATGTGTATTCTGTTCAATCTTTACAGTTTTATACCTTTGGAACAAAACGCTAGCCTCAGGTTTAAAGCTCTATGAAGTAACTTTATCAGATTTGGAAGACTTACACAAGTAAACTATCCTCATTACGATCAGTGAAGTTTCAGTAATACGACCTAAACGTGGGATATTATAGTATTTTAGACGTTCATGACATTTATACTTTTTCTACGTTTTATATACGTATATGACGTTTACAACTTTTCGACAGTCGAAAACCTAAAAATCTGCCAAACAGACCATCTCTGGTACTCACAAAAAACTCCTTGAGTAAAATTTTGGTTACAACCGTCAATACACCGAATGTCGGGAGATACCCTTGTATGGGGATATACGATATGGTGGACAGATATTGCCCATCTTCGAACTTAACCTGCCTGCAGACAGAATATTAATCTGTGTAGAATTTTAGTTTCCTTTCTTAATTAGTTTTAATTCTAGCGTGATTACAAAAGACGGAGGGACAGGGCTAAACGTCTTAGAATATTACGCTAACGTTATTATTTCGAACTTAATACACCCCCCAAACTATGCATGGTGGTACAATAATACAAAAATTTTGATATAAATAAGTATAAGTTTCGAAAAGCAGTAAGACAACAAATGAAAACGTTTGAAAAAGTAATTTTCTTGTTAGCAACAAAATAACAAATAATAAACAAATAAATTAACCCGACTACGCCTTTATTAGCATAAAATTTTAAGCCAGGCAATACACAATGCAGAACCAAAAAAGGCAAAGGCAGGCATACATAACAAGAAAAAAGCAACAATGTCCGCTAATGACAATTTAAATACTTACTTGTTCGGTGAGTAAACCATTCGGACAGTCTTTTAGAAAACCTTTGTGCCTAAATGAGATGGTAAAAAAATTATAAAAGAAAATGGGAAACAGTACAAAATAGAGTTGACAATAATCAAATCATGGGTTGACAGGAGTTATATCCTAAAATAAAAACCCTAATGTGAAAGAGCTTTTTGGGGTTTGTCTTAAGTTTCCACTTCGAATGTAAATTAAATTAATTCCTCTGAAATGCCAATAACGACAGACGAACATTTTCACTTACCATTGTCTAATCTCTTTTTCGGTAACTGTAACGAAATGGAAAAACAGAAGAAGAAGAAGAAAATTTAAATTCATTTAATGCCAGAATTGTTTACTTTGTGCCTTGGCAATTTGTGCCAAAGCATAAAATCCGAAAACATCAAAAGGCGAAACCAAAAAGGGGAAAGAGGACAAAAAGGATATAAACAACAGCTAAATCTTTCTGTAAAACAAAACAAATAAACAACATTTAGAGATCCACAACCGCAGAATGGTCTGATGCTTTGCCATGTTGCCACGTTAATGTAACCACTTCAGTTCTGTTGTCCTTCGTTGTGTATTTGCACAAAATCTTCAACAGCTTAAATCTCAATAAGTGTAATTTTTCATCAAGGGTACACCAACTGTTTGTTGTTGTTGTTCTTAGACGTTTTATGGTTGTGGTTGTTGCTGTTGTTGTTGTCGTTGTTACTTTTCTTTTTTGATGTTTACCAAACTCAGACAACAATTGCAATGACAACAATATGAGATTTGAATAACAAATTCAGAGATTTTATCAAGGACTCATCATTGTCATCAAAATTATCCACTGACATTGTTTTTTTTTTATTTGGGATAAACATAAATGGATGTGCTTGTGCAGAATGTAAAAGGGAATATTACTTAATGATGTTAGTGAATTTTTATCTTATATTTATAAAATGTTTAAACATTGTGATTTTTTTTAATGGACAAATATATATTTTGCGTGTATTATAACTTTAAATCCTAGATGGAGGCAGTATGATTATTACATTCTCCAAAAAATATTAGAAATATAAGATGAAGGGCCAATAAAGTTCAAATTTTCATAGTGTTCGGACTTGTATTTTTTGAAATCAAGGCATTATACAGAATTTTGAAAATTTCCCACAAAGCTTGCCGTATATCTATGATGATGTGCTGTCAATGTTTAACATACCCCATACACAATATTTTTTTTCCGATTTTTAGTATTTTGAGAGTTAGAGTAACTAACTTCAACCTAACCAGCTGTAATGAGTTATTGATTGTTTTTAGTGAAATGTATTTCTGTTGATAAGAAACTTTCCATATAACATTTTATGCAGTAGGTAACGAATCAAAACAATTTGAGTATTTAAAGTTCAATTTAATAAAGGGTGAGATGAAAAAACTGCCACCAATTTCAGACGGCTGTCATTTCCAAGCCACTCGTCCGACGGCTGTTAAAATTATTCGAGTGACAGCTCATAATATTGTTTACAAGCGTTCAAATGAATTTTGGTGATGAAAGTTATTCGTGATGGAATTCAAGCGTGATTGTGTGATTTCTTTATATTTGGCTGAAAAACCACAAGTGGCTATCGTTAGAGCACTCCAGCATTTAAATGTGAATAAATCTTTTGTGTCTCGTACCATCGTTCGTTACCGTGATACTGGTGGCGTGGCCCGACGTCAAGGAAGTGGACGGAAGAAAACAGCCAAAGAGGTCAGCTGAAAATGTGCACCTTCGGTTGGCCACCAGAACTCAATCGCCGGCCATGGTCTGGGCCGCCATAACAGCCGATGGTCACTCTAAATCGACGTAGCATCAGAATAAATGCCGAATATTATGGCGAAAATATTCTGGATGGTGTATTAAAATTTTGGGCACGCAAATATGTTGGTCGTAGACCTTGAACATTCCTACTGCACTCAGCCCGCGCCACCCAAGAATGGTAACAGCATGAGGTTTATCGCTTCATTTCTAGCGCACAATTGCCACCAAAATCTCCGAATAACAATCCGTTGGACTATTGTGCCTGGAGTATTTTGGAAAGCAAGGTTGGCACTAAAAAATATCAAAGTGTCGATCACCTCAAGCAAGCAGCGTAGACATAATTGGCATAATTCGAGCCAAAGGTGACCAATTCGAACAAATCTAAACACATGATTTCCGACATTTGGTGCTTTTATTCAATAAAATTTAAAAAAACCAGTAAAGAAAGTCTTAAAGTCGGGCGGGCCGACTTTATGATACCCTACACCACTTTGCTAATTTAGTAGAGCTCCCCATAACAATTAAACATTTTAATGGGACAATTCAACATACACGCTATAATTTTAATTATATATAATTATAATTATAATTATAATTATAATTATAAAGAACTATATATGCCGAAGCATTTGTATCTTTTAAATTCGGACTTGTACTGCCCATTTGGTGCTTAATTATTTTGAAATCGGATAAAGATATATATGGGAGCTATATCCAAAACGGGACCAATTTCAATAAAATTTGGGAAATATATTTCTGAGCTGTATTCGAAATATTTCCCTGAATATCGTTGTTATGGAGTGCATATTACGGCTGTGGGTAACAAATATAACAAATCGGATGAACAATATATATGGGAGCTATAGCTATATCTCAACCGATTTCGATAAAATTTGGAATACTTATTTCCAGTTTTAATTTGGTTTTATGTGCAAAATTTTATAATATTCGGGCTGATATTACACGTTTGGTGTACAATAAAAAGCAAATCGGACGAAGATATATTTTGGAGCCATATCTAAATTGTCACCGATTACCTCCAACTTCAATAGGGTTCGTCCTTGGGCCAAACAAATGATTTGTGCAAATTTTCGGGTAATAAATGCGAACTGTACTTTGTTTACAAAAATACATGGACAGACGGACGGACGGACGGATGGACATGCATAAATCGACTCAGAATGTGATTCTATGCAGATCATCAAAAGGAACTATGGGTCCATCTCATTTCCTTTTGCCTGTTACAAACAAATGTACAAAGACTTAATACCCTGACCACCTTGTGGTGTAGGGTATAAAAATGTAAAAAGTATGGGGTTTGACGTTGTTGTAGTTTTTTACCACACCCTGTATAAATTTTCCTGCAGATTGTTTATAGTCAAAACAAAGTATATATATTCTTGATTAGCATAAAATTCTAAGACGATTTAGACCTGTCCGTTCGTCTGTTGTTATCACGCTACAATCCAAACGAATTAAGATAAGAAGCTTAAATTTTGCACAGATCTGTCTTTTATCTGCGGACAGGTCAAGTTCGAAGATGGGCTATAGCGGTTCACGAGTTCGTATATCCCCCTATTTATCGGCACCTTTCGGTATTTTTAAGATTTTAACAGAATTTTTAATGGATTTTATTTTTTTTTTTTTTTTTTTGAAAATTGCGTAATTCGTTCCGAATTGTGGTATTCAAAGTTCGGCCCTGTCGAACTTACTGCTTTTTTACCTCTTAATATTTACAAAACTCTTTATTTTCATGTTTATTTCGCTACGAAAAGAGTATATGTTTTAAAAATTTGTTTTCTAGATTTTCAGCTTAAAAAGACGTGAATTTTTAAATATTTTTGGGGTTTTTTCCTTGCATTTAAAACAGAATTTTTAATAATTTGTAAATAAAACATGACTTTTTAAAACTACTTTTGCAGGGGTACTTTAAGAAAATTTTGTAACGAATGTAACTATCAATCATTAATTTAATTTTTTTCGTGAACCTTCTGAAAAAGAATAATGCCTTATTTAATGTACCTTTTAACCAAAAAATCAGGAATTTCAAGATCTTTTATTTATCTCCTGACCAAAAATTTTTGGATTTTTATGATTTTTTATTTATTTATTTATTTGTTTATTATTATTATTTTTTTTTTTTTTTTTTGGAGAATATTTTTTTACAATATCCTTGTCAAAAATAGAGTGCTTAAAAAGCATCGAAGTTTTTGAACGATGAAATGACATTTGATAGTAATGAACAATAATTTAGTACAAAGTATTTGTTCTAATGGCTTATGTCCCAGTAATGTTCTGCTATAAATGTTTAATAGGTTAGCAAACTCTTAGAAATTTTGGTTTTTCAGATTATAGACAATAACTTTAAAACATTTTCCTCTTTAAATTCCGTTTGATCTTTGCATAAAATTTTAAACGGAACAACCCACCCCCATTTATGAACATTACTCTACTACAATATGTACACTCCCCAAACTCTTCATGTTTCAAGTGATGTCAATTTTCCCACAAGACATTTATTACCTTAAAGTCCCCGCTCGGCTTGTCACAGATTTAATTGGGCAGAACACCAATTAAATTTGCACAAAAATGATGCTGCGGCTTGAGGGAAATGTTTCATTTATTTTTGCTGATAAAATTCCAATTATCATTAATTAAACACAACAATAACTTTCTTCTTCTTCTTCATGACATTATGAGACCCCCTTAGGATATTGGATATTCTACAGTTGAATATTTAGCCTTTGGTTGATTTGGGCATTACCCTTTAACATCTCAAAGGATTTGTGCCAATTGAAATGCCACAATGCTGATAATATTCGCAAATTCCCCATGGGAATAATTTGCAAAAGTAATGGAATTTTGTTTGGGCGACACATTAAGTCTTGCCAGGGATCAATGGGGGAAATTCCATACAAATGTGTAACAGGGGAGTAAGGGACATAATTTTAACCAACATATTTTTGTAGTTATTACTTTATGTCTACTTGCAATCCAATTTAAGTCTTACCAACAGACACACTTGCGCTAATGCCCACGCATACACGCACACATACACGCACACAAAAGTCAATTCTTAACAAGAATTTCTCTATAAACATATTTCCAGTCCTTACCATCCATCCGGTTGTTCATGCCTACATCCTTTGGCCCTCATGGCAATTAATTAGCTTTGGCTTTCTGTCATTTCACAACGGCTGACTGGCAGTTGGTTGTGCTGTAGTACTTTATGATTTCTTTTTTTTTCTGTGTCAATTGCCATGTTACGAGGATCCTTCGGCTGTTTGAGGGAATTATTATTTGTACGTATTGTTATTGAATAACGTTTTTCTGAAAATTGTTAATCTACACCCTTTTTGGGAACGTATTTAAATTTGTATACACATCAAATACCAAACAAACACCCCACAGAGCTTTGTTATTTAAACATCGTTTACTGGGGACATTTGTAAAAGCTAATGATCTCCTTTTCTTTGCAAAGAATTATGAGCATTTTTCACGTTTTCA